TATATTAAAGCATAATACATGGTCAGTCACTTTCTGGAGTTCAAGGGCCAACTTCAGTGTCAGGTTTTGACTGCTGCTTCACTGATATTTGGATCCAAATTGGAGCAGTGTCACAGCTCCTTTAGTTTAAACTACAGAACCAGTTCATCCTCTTACAGGTTCAGGAAATCAGCTAGCACAGACACCTTTTTGAGTCCCACAGAACTTATTATTTGAATAGCATAATCAAGTTAAGCCACCACCTTTATGAACTAACTAGGGCTCCTCACTTAATTGTGTGGAACTCAAGTCCACAATATTTCAAATTATTTGCCTCATTTTGACCTGTGATACTACCTTGGAGCGGGAATATGAAACCTCATTATTAAACATTATAAAAAAGCAGGAGACAGAATAATCAGATTTCTCCTCCTCTAGAGGTGAACTGCTTTCTTCTCATTTGGGACTCAATTCATGGTTTCTGTGCTTGCAGTGATCAACACATGGACAATTTTTGTCACTGACTTTAAGATCAAGAACCGCTGAGATAGTGAAAAACATCACCTTTTTGAATCCTCCCCAAAGCTCTTTCAAATGTTTTGGAAACCTGATGGTGCTCCAATTCATGCACTCTGATTTAACTTGAATCCAAGTCATGGTCTGTCAAACAAATATCAAAGCACTTATGACAGCTAGATGCAAGCGCTGAGATAACTTTCAGAAAGGTACACCAAGCACTCCTGGGGATGATCTCTGAGGGGCAAAATGATCAGTTCTCATAAGGGGGGAAAAAAAGGAATCAATTTCTTGTGAGATTAATAATGGTTAGAAAAATAGGTACATCTCTAAAATGTACCTACATCTCTGAAATTTGAGGTATTTCAGGTCAGTGCTAGTTGCATCTCTGTCAACAGCACTTAAATAATACACTGCCTATCCACACTGTAGCAATTAATCATAATGGCACAAGCCAGCACTTTTCTTTTTTGATTACCCTGGGACACAAAATCCTGTTCATACAATCTCAAAAGGGGCAGAAGAAAACCCCATTAAAACCAGTTTCTGTCCTATAAGTAATGCCTAATAAGCAAAGCAGCTCTTGTATTAATTTCAGAAGATATAAAACTCATCATAAGAGCAGAACAGAACGTTTATTCTGTTAAAAATATATTTTGTCTTCTTTGCTCTTGAGAAGGAAAACTACAGATTACATACTGTCCTCCTCCAAGAGCACAAAGCTGGTTTACAACAGCAGAACCACCTATTATTCTGCACAGAGGCAGGTGGAGGGTGCTGAGGAAGGGATTGCGTAGTTATGAAAAACATCAAAGATTTTAGGATGTCGCCTAGCTTCAAGACTCATTAAAGACAGTGGGAATGCCATGAACTTTAATAGCCTTTGAATGAGAGTTTACACTTCAGATTGCTATCATATGAAGATACTACATTTCACTTTCTACAGAAAATTACCTCAGCACCCTTTAAATAGACTTAATCCAGAAACTACAGCTGCCCCATTTATTCTTCTCCATCAATAAGCAGCACATCGTGCAAGGAAGAATCCAGAAGGAGCTTCTTGAAACTGCTGCACAGCAGAACCTGAGCTTGGGTATTCAGAAAGAGGACCAGCTAGAGCTGCCCTCCTGCCTGCCAGTCAATGCCAGCAAAACTCAAGAAAACAACTGATTACCATGACCCCATGGAGACAACGCCATTGAATGTGTCTCATCAAGACTAATCTCCACAGTAGTCAGCTCCACCCAGTGGGTGATGTTTTAGCTGGAGGTATACTTTGCCTTGAAGAATGTGTATTTAATTTCCTGAGGTAATGCTTTATATCTTTAAACAACCAGTAGATAGTAATAGCTCCAATAATCTGAATACCAAACTCCAATATTCATTCTTCCTTTTCCAATCATCAATGGATCAAAAGGTAAATGAAGCATAAAAGTAATAAAAATTAATAAGAGATTTTGTTTCTTTTACCCGGTTCAGGGGCTAATTGGTCAGTAAAAACTGGCTAGATGAGGTGTTTTGCAAGTAGAACACTCTTTTAAAAGTATTATATTTATATATATACATATATATATTGCTGTGGTGTTGAAATTTAATGCATATTGGCCCAGAAATTCATTGTGCTTCTATTCCCTGAATAGTATGCATAAGATCTAAAAATCTGTCATTATTGCAATAATGCTGGTATTAGCTTTTGACCAGTCAAGCCACTGCAGTCTTTATACCCTCTTTATCTATGATAAAGCTGCTAAGGTGATTCATTAAACGGCTTTCCACTACAGTGTGCTTTATTTATGTATTTTCAGGACACAGAATGCCAAGCATAATGTTTATTTACAGAAAATTAAGTTTTAAAAAATACAGCATGGTATTTTTGCACAAGACTGTTTAAAAAAAAAAAAGCATATCATGTTTTAACTGAAAGCTAAAAGGCAGCCACATTATAATCACTAGCCTACCATATGAGTGACAGAACTTACTGGTGTATCAGACATATATGGGAGGTTTTCCTCTTGTGTTTCTGTAAATTCACAGAATTTCAGATACAGGCATCTTTGACCAATCTCACAAAGAGATGTGCAAAACTATACCACTGCTTGAAATCTTATCAAATTACACTGTATTTAGCCTTTCTGATAAAATGTCTGATATTATCATAAAAGTGAAGTTTCTTTGGTAAATTGAGGAATAGTGCGGAGTGCTTCACACCAAAATATAGCAGTCATCTTCCTCATCCCTTAAGCCCTAAAAGCTTCTTCTGAAAGTAAGCTGCTATAAATCTCTGAGTATAAGAAACTTGGAGCTGTCTCTGGCTGTCAGTGGTTCACAAGTAAGCCAGAAGCCTTTATTATCTCTAAGATAATAATATCTCTAAGAATCTATCTAAAAAAATAACCTACCTGAATCCAAAAGGAAGGTGAATAAAGCATTCCACAGGAAGGCAGCATTAATCCGCTCAAACAATTCAATGGGTTTTCTCAATGAGAAAAGCTGTCCCTGTGGTTTTCATGGAATTACATTCAGCTAGTTTCTTTCAACTTGTCCAGCTTTCCAAGGGCAAGTTAAGGTGGTTTACACTGCCAAACCACAGTTTCCAGTCTTATAACAATAGGGCATGTTAATGTTGGCAGCAATACAAAGGAGTCGCATTTTCATACCAATGTACTGTTTTTGAACAATAGTGCACTTGGTACATACAGCCTTTCTTCATCATCACCCATGCATACTTAGGGGACTTATTTTTTTTCTTTATTTAAATACAAGCTGTTCAAGTGTTCTGTTTACTGCAAGTATGAAGTGAGAAAGGTGAATTCCTACTGTGTTCACACACTTGGGTAACTCTATGTAGTGCACTCAGATGTATTCATCAGGTTAGTATGGAAGCAAGAAACCAGCTCAGGAAAATAAATGGGTGTTCTAATTCAGTTTTCTAGATCCAGACAGCACTGGTACAGATGAAGACAAAAAAGCAACACCCTGCCTGAAAGGACAATATTGTGTCATTTGAACAGGCAGAAGGTCCAAGAGGCAAATCCTGTCACAGGGTGTAGTACTCTAAGTATGTCTCAGCCCCGTGAGGGTTACCAGGGTGGAATTGACTTGCATGCATTCTCAACTGGAAATTAACATATAACAGGTACTGAAAATGCTACTCCCCCATTTCTGATTGCATTGTACTAAGTTACCTGACAAACTCCCCAGGAAGGCTACACAAGAGCCAAGTACCTTTTTAGGTGCTTGGGCATAAGGCATCAGTAAATATGCTCTGATACAATCCTGTACCTGAGTAATGATGGGTAAGGCAGTAGCCTGAGGGGCTACGTACAAGATACATCATCTTCTGCTTTTTACACAGCTCTGTTCACTTCCTAAAGGAGCAAACACTACTGTTTGACATTTAACAGCAGGGGCTTAGTCAGTGGTCTCAATGCAATTTACGGAGAACAGCTATCACCATAAATAAGCAATATCTATTATAAAAAAAAAAAAAAAGACAACTGTCCAGTTTGATGACAGGTCCATCAAAATCAGAAAGATGTCTGGTAATATGAGAACTAGACTAACTATCCCTCCATTCTCTCTCTCTAGCCTTCCAGAAAAGACTTACGAGAGAAATCAGTAAAACCTTTATTGCTAAAATCTTTTCTGTGCCTATTCTAATAAACTCCTGGCTCCATAGCAAGGCAACTATCCACATTTTCAGAAATGCAGAGAATGGTAAAACGGTAGGTATAAAGCAAAAAGCTTAATTTGCCAAAATAGATTGCTATTTACAGTTAATGTCCCTGCAAACATGCTTGAGGAGGGACAAACACACGCTATAAGGCATTTTACAACCTAATTCAGTTACGCTTGCCTGAAACATAACACAAATCCCAGCATAACACAGGCTCCTACTTAATTAGATTCCCTAAGAAAAGTCAGTCTGAGCCATATGGTATTTTCCTCAGCAGTTACGATAAACTGACCTTGATACTAGGAAAACGCACGCTGCTTCTGTCTGAGGCATAAATTACAAGCGCAGCGTGGCGGGATGCTCCCGTGAAACGGGGACAGCGGCAGCGCCACGCTGAAACGCTCCCCGGGCTCCCGGGGAAGTTGATCAAGAGTAACACACTCCAATGATAACGACGATGATGATGCACTGCAGTGACAGCGCTCCAAGAGCCACGCGGTCAGCAGAACACCACGAAGCTGCTCAGACATCTGTCCGGTAATTAAAGCACAGCCTAATGCCGCGCTGCCGCCGAGGAGCGGCCCGCCTCGCCCCCGAACGCCGCGGAGGGCGGCGGCCCCTCGGCCAGCAGCACGCCCCGACACCCGGCCCCGCCCGACCCTTCCCCGGCGCCGCGGGCCCCCCCGGCCCGAGCCCGGCCGCCCCTCACGGGCGCTGCGGCCCCGCACCTCGGCCCTGCCGCAGCCCGTCCCACAGCGCCGGCCGGCCCCGCGCTGCCGCCGCAGGGGGGCCCTCAGCCCGCCCCGGGCCCGGCCCCGGCCGTACTCACCCCCGGCCAAGTGCGAGGGCTGCACCTCAATGGCAGGGAAGTGCCTGGCGCTGGGGCACGGGCAGAGCCGGCGGCTGCGCCCCGTCGCTCATGCACGGCGGGGTCTGCGGCCGCCCCGCGCCGGCCCCCGGCCACCACCTGCGCGGAGCCGCCGGGCACAGGTGCCCCGCTCCCGCTCCGCGCCGGCCGGCACAAGGCGAGTGCCGCTTGTCTCCTCCGCCTCCTCCTCCTGCTGCTGCTGCTTCTGCCGCCGCCGCCGCCTTCAGCCCTCCCCGCCCCGCCGGACGCGCCACCGAGTGCTGCTGCGGTGCCGGCGGCGGCAGCTCCCGCCGCGCTCCGGCACCTGCCCGGGCGCTGCCGCCAATCGCCGGGAAGGGGCCGGGCGGGGGCGGGGGCGGTGCGGCCGGCAGGGGCGGGAGCTGCGCGCACCTCCGCGCTCCCCGGCGCGCATCCATCCCTACAGCTGCGCCCCCGACAGGCACGGACCGGGCTGCTGCCGGCACGGCATGTGCCCCGGGGCCGTCCGCCGCTGTCACACCCGCTGGCCAGGGGGGACACCTGCGGCCCGACAGCCACCTAAGCCCCAGCTGGCAGGGAGAGGCACAGGTGCTGCCTGTCTGAGCCCCCGCCGTGGTGCGGGCCGCCCGTGGCGGGTGTCGAGCGAAGGGGGAAACAGAGGCCGGCTGTTGGGAACTGCCCAGAATTCCATCCGTATGGATGCGGCGCACCGGGCAGTCATAAGGAAGGTGCGGCCTGGTCAGTCGTTCAGCTCATCTGTGAGTCACCGCTGTAACGTGGAAGTGCTTTTTTATGTCCTGAATCACTACCGCAGATTGTATTTTATCAGGCTAATTACTTTCCCCCGGTATTATTTGTCGTTCCATTTTTTTATTTTTTTTTAAATGCTTGCTTAACTTCATTTTAAAATATCTACAGCTGTTCACTGCAAGGTATGGATTTATTTGATCTCAGCTGAAGTGCTCTGTCAAGACGGATGAATTCAATAAATTTTGGCAGGTTTTCAAAGAAAATATTTTCTGGGAGAGTATTTTTGTTTACATGAATTTCACGGTATTACAAATAAACTGATTTATCAAATGTTTGCTTTCTTTGCTAACCTACACTTGCCTGTGTTAGTAAAATGGGTGCCACTCTGTGAGGCAGACATCACATTAATTTTAAATGTGTATGCAAAAAACAAACAAGCAAAAACAAGTTTAGGAAGTACTCTGCATCAAACATCATTTTGTATTTGCCAAACATATCTATAGGTAAATACATGTCTCAGTGCTTCCCAAACAGAAGAAAATTCTTACTTCTTGAAATAAAAACAAGGAAAAGAAGCAGTTATTCTCAGCAGTAACATTTTTTCAAGAGTAGCATGATATGGCAACAAATCAGGGATTGACTTAAACAGTAGGTCACATTTTGCCTGTATTAGAAGAGTAATCAATAACACACTTGAGCACTTTCAATAATTAAAAAAACATCTGGATAGAAACCCCTCTCCAATCTTCCAGCTGAAACACAAGAAGAATAATGTTTTAAAGTCAGCCACCAATACCAACAGTTCTATAATGCTTATGATTATAAAACCATGAGGTCAAACAGATAAAACTGAGATTCTGCTCCTCACACTCAAGCTACTAAGCCAATATTGAGTTCAAGAGTAATGTCTCGCCCTTGCCTCAACATTCTGCAATTAGGTACGCAGAAAGTTTTTTTCCTTTCAGGGCAATACTTCACATTCTTCTCTACTGGAGAAAAAGCATTGGACTTGAGGCTGTTTCATTCCACACAAGCACAGTAGTCAACATGTTTTTACATGTTTAGATGTAAATCAGTATATTTTTACATGTTTACAGGTTTTTACTGCAACAGTACTCCACAGGGAAGGTATTAACCCGTGGCACAGCTAAGCCAGCCATTAATAACTGACAGAGTGCCACTAAAAGAGGGGAAAGAGAACAGTGCAAAAGTGAAGTACTGTAATCACGTTGTGGATGCTCTGCTGGACTTCTCTATTTGACTGTATTCCCACCCTACTTGTTGGATGTACTATTTTTCCTCTTCTACAGGTTTTGTGTCTCACTTGGAGAGAAATCAACTTCTCTTTGCATCTGTAGCAAGTATTTTTGATGGATGTCATTCACAGTAAAAAAAAACCACAAAAAAGTAAAACCCCCAAACCTGCATAAAAATCTTTTTTTCACCCCTATAGGCCAAATCATAAGGGATAGATCAGGAAATTGAGATATGCCAGGCTTTCTCTGGGATCACATGAGACACAGCCATTGACTAATTTAAATAAGTACCTAAATAAGCATGCAGAATAGATAGAAGTCTAAGGAAGAGAAATTATCCACGTCTTGTTACGGACTTCATGGTTAGGTTCTTTTTCCCTTTGAACTGAAGATTGACGAGAGGGAGGCAGTTTTCTCTTATTCGATCTTGGTTGTTTATTCTTTTCTTATCAGCATTGCAAGGTACAAGGAGTTATGTGCACTGTGATAGAAAGGGGTAAAATGGTTAACAAAGATCTTCTTCAAGGTCTTTTATATGTCCATTTACCCAATTGACAGATGCCAACTAAATTATTTTTCTTACTGACCCAATGACCCAACACCTGTGTACTGCACTGGAACATTCTTTATCCAATCACTTACTACCACCCAAAAACCTTGAGGAGAAGAACATGAAGAAGAAAGAAGAAGGGACAAGAGACAACACCCTAAATCCTCCATCTTGTCTCCTGTTCTCTAAACTAACTTTTTCACCCAGTGATTTAAGAAAACTTTCTAATCTACACACTTACATTTTCATTTTTTTCTATCTAACTTTAACATTTGTTCTCATGTATCACCATGAACACATGCTCATGAATTTCATGTTATATGAAATTCAGTGTTTCTTTGGATCCTAGAACTAAGTATTAGAAACAAGGGCACACACTATCTCAGACTCCAACATATCCAGACAAAGAGAAGTCCCTAGTGGTGGCATGGGGATTTTTACCCCATGAGCAGCACATGCCCAAACACCTTCCCACCCAGTGCCTGCTAGTTGCAGAGAGGAGCAGGGCAAGGAGAGGTACAAGGGATACTGGCAAGTGTGAGCAGTCATCAGGGAAAGAAGACTGCCTTGCATGCTTGTCTCATATCCTAAAGCTCTGAAATTCCCAATTCTCCATGTAATCACAACAGTTAGGATAAACTACAGACCATACAATCTTTCAGTGATAATAACCTCAGTGTGGAGAGAAGCAAACAAGACCCAGAGAGCGCATCTGTACTTGCAGCAACCATGTTGCCATATGGTGCTGATTAGGCAGCAGCATGGGAAAAATCTTCTAAAAAAAGGGAGGCAGATCTGGTAATAATGGGGTACAGGACAAGAAAATAATGTGTTTTCCTGGTGGTAAGTTTCTCTTGTCACAACACAGACTTTTTCCGCAAAGAAAAGGTCATCCAAATGCAGACTGAAATAAGCAGGCTGGTATTGCTTGGAATGCTCAGCACTAAATCCAGTGATGCCATAACTTGTGGCTTCAAGGCTGCCGTGGCCAACAGGTGGCTCTTCAGGCTGTCCCCAAGCTATGCTGTGTAACCAGCTGGCTGCACTGGTGTAAGGAGGTCAGGACAGGCTGCTGCCTGCACCTGTGGGACCTGCTTTAGCTTGACAGCAGTAGTTCTGGCTAGGAGCTCCCACTCAACAAAGAACTTCCCTCTGCCCTCAGCACCCATGGAATGGGGCTGCTAGCCATAGGAAAATTTTTGGAGCATGGTTTATACGATCAGGAGTTTTGACCATATTTTGTATTGCATACAATTCTTGCAAAACTTTCAAATAAATTGTTTTTTAGGAAAATAAAATTTTTGCTGGTTTGGTATTCCCTCAGAGGGGGATGTAGAAATATGATGCTAGCCAGTGTGCACAGTCATGCTGGGTTATTCATTGACAACCGCAGACCGCTCCATGAGGACTTTGTGAAGTTTGCTTCAAGTGTCCCAACCTTCTCAATAAAAGCAGAGGTTTTAACAGGGAAATTGGAGATGCAAATGTGGACAGTACCTGCTGAAAAAAGCCACCAGCTGCTGTGTTAGCCACAGGGACCAATTATGAATTTATTCCAGCCTATTGGTATCTCAGGGCAGCAAATGAAGACAGTAATAAGTAATTAAGTTTCTCTTGCTTTCAACTGATCTCTTAAGACCTCAGAGTATTTTCACAAAGTGTAGTTAACAATAATTTGATGGTAATAACTTGGAAGTCATTGTAACCTTTTATCTCATGGTCTTAACTTCATAAATGTTTTACAAAATGTCTATACAAAACATGGAGTATTACGATAAATAAGTTAAAATAGGTTACCAGTAGGCCATAAGAAAATGAGTAAGAAACTGAAAAGAATGGACATATTTTTAACAGAATTTAGTATGTAGGGCATAACATTTGATATTACACTTCACCATGACATTCCCTTGGAGATTTCAACAGCCATGCTACCTGCCTCACAAGCCTCACAGTGTATGGAGGAGCTCTGAATAATGCTAAGTGTGAAAAATAGGAAAAGGAAAGCTGAGAGAAGTCAGGATTTGGGTTATATACCTACACTAATAAAGAAGACAGCTTGAGGAAGTTTTGGTATTTGCCTAGCAGCTGCAGAACTTAGCCAAGCTAACACTTTGAAAAGACAAAAACTTACCAAACTCTCACAACTAGGATGAAAACAGTTGCAGAAAAACTGAAACTAATGCAGAAAAAATTTATGATCAGTGGGGGGAGAGAAAGCAGGGATTTTTTGGTGGTGTTGTGGTGTTGTGGTCAATGAAAAGGCAGCAACAGGATTACGAGTTAGTTAAAGAGATGGTAGAGAAAAAACATGAATGATCCATATGAAAAACATATCCATGATATGATATGTAATTAGTAAAGGAAATTCCACGAGTATTGGAAAGAATGGGAATAATCAGGGTGAGAATCAGTTGCAGAAGAGAACATGATGCTGCTGTATTGCTGTTACTGTGATTTACTCATTCTTTCAGGGTGCATAAATGCAAGCTTGAGCGTGTCAG